CACCGGCTGGGACGACGAAGACGAGTTGCTGGTCGGGGCCCCTATTCGGAGTAGTCAAGCACGAGATGAAGTGGCGGAGGATGAAGTTAATGTTAGGGCGGATGAGGTGCTAGCCGAGTGGCTTGAACTGGAGCCCGACTTGTTAGAAATCGCGACTCGCCATAACCCGACCAAGACGGGGAAACCCAAGGGCTTGTATTGGTCTATGCTTGGCCTGTACAAACACGTGGACGTTCTGCAGTGGCTTAGAGAAGAAGGTGAAGAGCGTTTTCCCTCAATTGCCCTTCTTGCACGCATTCACTTGGGCAAAGTGTCATCGTCAGCTTTCCAGGAACGAGTGTTTTCATCTGGAGGTATTGTAATGGGGCCATTTCGCACGAGAACCGATCACAGGCGATCCGAAAAGCAGCTTCTCCTCAAACACAATCGCGATGAGATAGTGAGGATGAAGCAAGACGCTCGAAAGGCGGTAGACAGCAAGACGACCGAGTAGTACTGAGAGTAGTAGCGATAGTAGTACGCATACTACTACCCATACGCCTGTATCTGTAGTAGTATGAATATGTCGCCGTCTACGGACCCCCAATAGCTCCATTGATACTACTACTCGTTTTGGAGCGCAGCTATTAACCCCTGTTTGCCAGACTGGGAGCATCCCACTCACAGCAAATCTTCGAATTTGTTAGGATTTGCTGATATCTTCCAAATCCGAACTCGGTATAGCGTATACTCTGCGTATACCCCTCCCACACAAATAATCCTCCCCCTCCAGCAAATTCGTGGCGCCAACGGACCCAAATGCCGCCATGTCCACGCAGCGCTCCAAAGCGCCCCCTGTTGGCAGACGCCAGCGACGATACCAGTGACGGCGCCGCATCCGGCGGCTCTTTGACTGAGTGGGAGCCGTCACTAAGCCCACCTCGTGTGGAAAGGACGGGGACGAGCAGCGCTAGCGAGGAAGCCGGACCAGTCTGTGTCATCGCTCCGCCTCCGGGGGAGACGCAGTTCAGGTCGTGGGAAGAATTCGAGGCATACTTCGCGTAGTACTAAGCTCGGTCGTTCCAGGTACAGTGTGAAAAGTTCTTTTAAAATTATATTCAGTGTTATCTAAGCTAATTGGTTGGCATGTTATCGATACAATATTAGATCTACCGTACCAGAACGAGCACCTCAGTTCTAGCACAGAATGCTCGGATAGATATCCAGGGATCCAAGGCGTTTAAAATTCCCGACGAGTGGGACCAGTACGCAAAACATACGTGTGTACGCATTACGACAAATTTCAAACGCAAGCCACAAGTAAGAGGCCTCGTCAGGAGAGTCGAGCTTCTGAAAGCTCTGCCCAGGTATGTTGCTGCTGCAAATTAGAATGTCGGGTGTGCTGAGCAAGCAGCATGATCAATTGGGTGAAGCCAGATTCAATAGGGCATGGTCTGGTTCAATCTGGCATGGTCTGGTATGATTGGGTATTGACTGGTTTGATCGGACAAATTGGCTAATATCTGCTGGCAATCTTTCGTTGTTTTCAGATCAATGTGTGCGCTCAAGAGATCAAAAAAGCTACCCATACATTTGCTCTAATGATTACGAAGTGCCACCTTGAGCACAACCACACATTGAACGAGGACGCTTTCAAAAGCCACTCGTCCAACTGTGTGTCCCTCGGTGAGAGTGCTTTAGAGACAGTGGATGAGCTCCGCAAGGCTGGAGCGAAAAAGACAAACATTCTCAAGTTTACCAAGGACAATTCTGATAGCAATCCGAAGCCGCAGGATGCTCATAATTTGGTTCGCAAATTGAAGGCTCGCGAACTAGGATTCACCCCAACCTCAAGTTCAATGCGGTTAAAGAAGTGGATGTCCGAATTTGGTGATGTTCCTGGCAACGTGGTGCGCATCTTCGTGAACGAAGTGGGAGAAAAGGTATGATATACGACGTTTATGTTTTAAATTTTATTTTGTTATTGCCTATTTAACCGCTTCATTATGTTAGAGATTGGCAACCTGTATTGCGCTTCAAACCAAACACATGCGATCGATCTTCAATCAATTTCCGGAGGTACTTCTAATTGACGCAACGCATGGAGCCAATCGATCCAAGTACAAGGTCTTCTCTTTCATGGCACACGACACTTTTGGAAAAGGCCAGTTTGTGCAGCATGCCCTACTCCACAACGATCAGTGGAGAACACTGCTGACTGCACTGGAAGAATTTAAGACGAATAACCCGGCTTGGACGCGTCTTCAGGGCGTGCTCACCGACAAGGATTTCACGGAGCTTTCTGTTTTGAAGACAGCATTACCTGGCGTGACTATTCTACTCTGCCAGTTTCACGTACTGTAGTACTTGAGGAAGGAAACATCATCATCGGATTACGGCTGCAACACGTGGGAGAGGGATCAGCTGCGAGGGCTCATGGACCTCCTGGTATACGCGAAGACGAGAAGGACTACATGGAACATTTCGGTACATGCTGCATGTGTGCGAGGTTGGTCGTTCAAGGCCGGAGTCTTCAGATTCAATCGGGCAGGATAGGGTTACAGTCAGATCGAAACCCTCTGCGGTCGGGGTGAATTTAGCTCCAGTCGGGCAGAATCTGGCCCCAGACTCCGTTGAACCCGCGGATGTGGCTGCTGCGACAAATGAACCCACCACCCACCCATTTGCTACCTATTTCATCAAAACCTGGGATAATTATCGTAAGTTATGGTGTGCACACAAGCGGCAAAACACCATCACACTCGGCAATAACACCAATAATAGATTGGATGCATCCTGGAAGCAGTTGAAAGAGTGGATAAATGCGTTTATGGCTGCGGACGAATGCATTGCGTCTATCATGTACTATCAAACGCTTCAAGAACGACGGTTCATGGATGAAGTCTACAAGAAGGTTAGCATTCAGCATGTTGGATACGATCAAGAAATGACTCTCGTGGCTAATCTTGTCAGCGAACACGCGTGCGAGCTGATACAAGACCAAGCATTGTGACCTTGGCATCTTATCCAGTCAAAAACAAAACGACCAGCTATCAGACTCTCCTCCTTCTACCCAGCCAGCTGAAGCGAGTTCAACCATTGAGAGCAGCCAAGTCGAGAAGTCTGGCACTCAGTCTGGTGAGTCTGGCATCCAGTCTGGCAAACATCTTGAATCGAAAACCCAAGAGCTGACAACGACTCTTCAAGAAGTAGGGAATGAAGAATTGCACGTAGCGAGCCCTCCTAGATCCCGAGGGCGCCCAACGCAAACAGCAAAATCGAAGAAATCTGCTCGTAGAAAGAATGCCACGATCGTCCAGGAGGACTCAGACTTGTACGCAGCGAATTTGAGCCTGGCACAGTGCGAGATGCTGTTGAAGGCGTGCCTACATACGATACATCTGCCGCTACCCTATCGCGATTCAAGCTGTATGAGTTCAGTAAAACTCCCAGGGCTCCAGTAGCCCATGCGAGAGCGAGCTTACCACCGGCGAAGAAAATATATCCTGTGAAATCCATAACCCGTGTATTTCGCAAAGACTTCATTGAGAAGTGCAGCGCCAAAGTCTCAGCCCTGCAGAAGAAACATAAAGATTCATCGGGTGTAAATCTAGGCTAGCAAGAAATTGCGGTGGGAGTAATCGGTGTTGGAACATACACTACCTAGACGTTGGGTGTAATGCAAAAGTAGTACAGGGCGATGAAAAGCATACAACACGTGGACAAAGCTATAAAGTGTATCGAGACTATTGATTTCACTCTGAAGATGCCCAAGCATTTCCAAGTTGATCCAGACCCAGATATACTTGCTAGGCTGAAGGTCATCCCTCTTCTGTCCGTGCAGGTACAGCTAACGTATATTTATTGATACAATGGATTTACCAACGCTGATAACATCTTCTTGAATATAGGCGGAAGCGCTGGAGCTCGTTGGCAAGTCGCCCTTGGGTGATTGCACCGTTAACACTTTAGTGCTGAAGCTGTTTGCAGAAAGAGTAGACACGATTGGGGTCGACACGTCCATCGCGGGGAACGTTATGAATGGCGATTAATCGATCTATACAATGAAGGGCGTGTTTGTAGGTGTTACGGGCGAGAAGATTTTGATTCCGATCATCTGCGGCAAGAATCACTGGTGCTCCGTCATGACTGACCTGACATGTAAATACGAATGAGTCTACGACCCGATGAATTCCAGCTACGGAGTGAAGGTTCGCCCCTTGCTGACAAATTGGTGACGATGCCATCAGACTTTGCCCCAAGAAAGTACCGAGCCCGAATATACGAAAGTGATCTTGGGGTACAGCTCGATAGCTACAATTGTACCATGTACATGCTGTTGGCATTCGAGATACTTGCCGGTGCTACTACTATGCGTGCGCTAAGTAGGAAGGAGTTGCAGTATTTACGCTATCGGTATCTCTGCATGTGCATTTAGCTGAGCAAGTTTTCAATGATTTGGTCTTTTGTTTGAGTGTGTCAATGGCATGACTACCTCCGAGTTATTCACCCTGCACTTTGTCTTGAGAGTTAGATATCCCCAGCGCAGTTTGCTGAATGTCTTGCAGATTTCATTTTCGAAACCGACAGACATCGAGCTTCCGGTTATACGTATACTCCCGAAGACGCATCAGCTGATGCCGTCTCCTGCTCTTCCTGAGTCTGGCATATTCGGGCATGCTAATCGGGTGTATTCTGGTGTAATTGTACTGTCTCTTGCTACCCAGTCTGGCTGAATAACGAGTGCCTTTCGAGATTTTCAGATTCAGTGATTTCGCACGTGTCCAAGGTTTCGCGCCATTTGCGAATCGGACGGACGGACAGCAGTAGCCAAAGCTGGGTGGCAAAACGCAAGCGGATCAAGTCGCTTACCTGGGGAAAAATATGGACCAAACTCAAGAAACTTGGATGGAGGTGTGAGCGCCCAAAAGGGCTTGCAACTGAGAATCGCAACTTTACACCTGCAGGCTGGGAGAAACACCCACACGCAGCCCACCTTGTCGACTATTATGAGGGTCCCGATGAAGAATGGAAGCATTTGCTTGAAGATGGTACGTCCTAAAATGCGTATTATACTTATGTTGAAGAGACTTACTGTGATGTAGTTCTGTATGACGACGCTACCGTTGCTGCTGAAGCTTCAGTCCCAGCATCACCCGCTCGCCTGCCAGCTGTCCAATCCGACACATCGCCAGCCGAATACATCGCCAGCCGAATGCTCAGCCAGCACTCCTGCTAAGGCTCCGGCCAAGTCACCCGCTCCGTCTCCCGGCCAGTCTCCCGCCAAGCAACCTACCAAGTCTCACACTAAACCGCCAGCAAAGGCGCCTCCCCCCCCAAACGGTGGTGAGAACACCCCCAAAGAAGCGCGCAAGGAAGGTGGTTGCATCGAGAACATCGTCACCACAGCGATCGCCACGTGTACCAGCACCGACACGTGTACAACCACTTCGGAGCACGCACCTAGTGGCTGAAACGGTAGATATATCGGCTGGCAATGACCGGATGAGTTCTGGTGACGAAGATGACTTCGCCATAGACGACGACTATGCTGTATCCGATGTCGAAGCCTCCAGTGAAAGTTCCAGTAGCGAAGATGAAGCGACGAGTGATGAAGAGGACGCGGTTGATCTCTCTGCTGGGACCCTCTTTGACAAGATGACAAAGGAGCAATTGAGTGAACACGCAAAAACTGGCTGGAAGACCTTTTTCGAAGACAAATGTAAGTACAAATCGGTATGATACAGAATGTCATTTTCTGAACCGTAACGAAATCCTGTATCAGACACTAATTATATGTTTTCGATGCTTGATGTAGGTACTTCTCTGTAGTTATTGTACCTTTCTGCCAAAACACCCTCAGTTTTATGGTCCTACGTAGGAGGATGGCCCTTACGGAAGCCCTCCTATCTATATCGGGTCCTTCCGACTAAAATTTAGCATAACCCTTAACGAAAAAAACGCCGAAAGACATATGTGACCATATCTGATAAATGTTTATTAAAATATTAGTATGCATTTAGATGACCGCTCATTCTTTGGGGTGTTGTCAGTATTTTCTGTTGTCTTAAAGAGATGGTACCATCTCCGAAGGCTTCTGGCCGAGACGCCCAGTACACCGGCAACTACGCTGATCTCAATATTGGAGACATACTGCAAGACAATGCCTCGCCAGCGTACGTCTGATGAGTAGTCCATATTTCATTTAAAATCAATCTGTTGTGGATACCTTACGTAACGGTAAATGATCGGCAAATCCTGGCCATTCAGCCCTTAATTCGTTGAAAGGTACCCTTTAGACCAAATCGGAGCCCTTACGTAGGACCTCCACAATCAAGTATTTTTGGATAATAGTCGGCAATAGCAAACAGTGTTATTGGTCATAGATTATATTATTTAGTGACCTGGCTTACCAATTCAGCTTCAGTTCGTCCTCAAACCCCACCTTTAGCCCTACCCACCCTTGCTTAGGGCCAGCCTTTAAAGGTCAGATTGGCCAAAACTTTGGAAAGGCACAATACCTGCTGCCGATCTAGCACGTGCTATCGCCGCCCCCATCCAGCTCACTTAAGCACTGGGATGCAACCTGGAAGGTTTATTCTTTTTGTTCATACCCAAAGAGATGTGGCTTGCTATTGCTACCGAGTCAAACCGATATCAGCTCCAGTACCGGGAGCAGGTGGCGAAAGAGATCATGGCTCACCAACAACGCATCAAGGACTGACGAATGGCGTACAAGATAAAGACACTGCAGCAAATTCAGAAAGAGCAGAGAGCGTTCAACCCTATTCAAGCCCACGAGTTGGTGTACTTCATTGGACTACTCTGTACCCGTACCCTGTGTCCTCACAAAGAAAAGCTGTCAAAGCACTGGGCAGTGGATGCTCAAGGTGCGGTTCCCAAAGAAACATTTGGGCGTTACATGGTAAGAAAGCGATTCGAAGAAATCGTGCGCTTCTTGCACTTTAGTGACAGCAGTCATCCTGATGCGGTCAGGTACAAGACGTGGAAGATCAAGCTTATCGCCGACACAATCAACACAATATTCAAGCTGGAGATGACGGTGGATCAACGAATTGCCTTCGACGAAGGAAGGACACCTATGCGGAGCAAGTACAACCCAATGCGCCAGTATCATCGAGGGAATCCCCACCCATGGGGTACGAAGTGCTTCTTGACGTGTGACGCTCATACCGGTTACTGCTACAGGTATGGGTATTATGTTCGTGTATAATACAGGACAAAACCTCACGCCTTTTTGTTTTATCCTGTATAGGGCCGAAATTTTTCAAGGAAAGGTTGACACAGATAGCGCGGATCTGAACGAAGGCCCCAACGCCGTGCTGCGCAATGTTGATGCATACCTCGACGGCCTTCCCAAGAAACGGCTCATTATCATGGATCGGTTCTACTCAAGCGTACTGCTGTCTTCGATTCTGCTGCAGCGTGGCCTCTACCATGTTGGTACAATTCAAACCATCAGACGTGGTTACTTGAAAGCTATCCCATATAAGAATGCGAAGCGACCGAAAAGTATGGCACGAGGGTAATATCATATCGCGCATTCCAAAGAGGAACCCAGCATGATTGCGGTGTCGTGGATGAACAGCCGTCCCGTACTCTTCATCTCCACGGACTGCAGCACGGAACCAGCAACTCTGTCGAGGCGTGAGGGCTCCGCAGCTGTCGATGTACCAGCATCGCGCCTTGTCAAGGAGAATCAAGACGGCTTGGGAGGAGCTGACGTACACGATCAATTGCGGCTACAGAGATACTCAATTTAGGTCCGTTTTACTCGCATTACACTTACCCTGTATAATCCACGATCAACTGACCTACATCTAACTATATCCTGTATTGTTCAGGGTGCCATGAAAATGCGGAAGTACTACCACACTATCTTCCTTGGGCTTGTTGACATGGCTCTGATCAACGCATTCATTATCTTTCGCCGCGTGCAAGGTGATCGCACAGCTGCTTCAACTCAACCAACGCATGCGCCCTATATGCGAGTAATGCAGATGTCCTTACTGGCTGTTGGCGCATCAGATTTCAAAGGTGACTTATCGATTCGCGCGCTGACTGACACGCCGGTACCCCCTTCGCGACTTCGAGATACAGACTATCGACAAGCCATACAAATAAGCAAGTCGAAGTGTACCGTACGACGCGAGGCAAGAACAAGACGAATCGAGGAAGTCGACAGTACGCTTGCAAGGTATGCTCATTACTGCGACCGACGAGAAATCCGTGGGAAGCTACCTTCTATTGTGCTGAGAGTACCGAGACAAGATTCGCGGGGACACCTGACGACCGTTCAACTGCTACGGGCAAGATCTATTTATGTCAAAAGGTGCGACAGCACGATCCGACTGCGGCGACAAACTCTGCCACCTGCAGCCAAATTTGGCTCGAGCTCTGGAAAGGCGGCGCTAACATTCCTCCGGGGTTGAAGACGAACAGGCTGCGTACTTCAGCAGGATAAGAAGCGCAGGCATCCGACAGAGACGATAATGTCCCTAATGATAGTTGTAGCGCCAGGTCGGGAAGTGATGGAGGGTCGCAAACGGATGGCGGCGTGGAGACCCCAGTGATCTAATCAAATTAATGTATGTATACTTGTGAATGAAGGTAGCTGTAAATTTATACTTTTTTTTAACTACGATTACACTAGCTGTAGCTTGGAAATACAGGATGCACCATCACATCTCCTCAAAATACACTGTACTGTCCACGATAAATAGCCAATCAAAGATTGTGATCCTCACAATCCTCACAAAAACTCCGCAATAGTTAAGGCAAGTCATTTCGTTATTTTGTATAATAAAGGATAGCTTGGGCCCAAAAACGCGGGGCTAGAGGGGTTAGCACTACTTGCAATGCCATACTGCAAGCATTTACAATACTGCAATACATACAGCTGGAGTGCACGATACTGCAATTAGTACTGAAGCCCTCATACCAAACCAACTATTTGCTCAATCTTCCTCTAATCACCCTCGGGCCGTAGTGGAGTGTCTGCGCTCGATCCAAAATCGCTTAACCACGTCAACTTCGAGAAGTTACTGGTTTTGAAGCATGACATGCTGCGGCGGAGTTCATCCGTTTTCAAACGGAAACACATGAAAAACCTCATTAGAAGGGTCGCTGGCCGCCTGTAGGCAGGAGTAGTCACTTCGAGAAAAACCACTAACCAAACAAGACAAACACTCTTGCATTTAGCTTCTATCTACCCGGCTTGTCGCCATTCAGAGTCCTTCAAGCAGTCCAACCATCGCTTCCTTGTGCATCTAAGTGCCACCGCACATTTGGTGTCTACTCTACTGGTATTCCTGTTCAGGAGAGGAGTCTACCACTTTTTGTAGCATTGTAGCCTTTATCGGAGGTTCTCAAGATAGAAACAGAAGACGTTGATGTCTATAGCAGCGAGACCGAGGAGGAATCACTTTAACCCGGCGAAATCGAGCAAATTCGAGCGGTTCTAGGGAACCTCGGGCACCTCGAGAAGACGATTAACGATCCACAGAAAAACCAAGATCTCATGCTCGACTGGGTAACGAATTTTGCCAACCGTACCGAACGCAGGCAACACGAAAGCTACAGAGATTAGGGCTAACCAGGAGCTGTTACAGCAAGTCACCGAGAAGCTTCAAGTATACGCACAAATAAACGAATCGAGAGAGAGTACTCAAGAAGTCGTCATTAAGCAATTTCAGTCGGAGGTGGCAACCTTGCGGAAACAAATGCAGGTGGCGTCCACGAGAGGCTCCAGCCTGGAAGAACTAGCTGCAAATCCTGCCCCAGCAAGCGTAGATGAGGGATCTGGTATTAAATGGAACGTGTTCGGACCCATGCCGTTGGGAACGCCTATATTTGACGGCAACGAGTTCGAAGTGCGAGTGACAAAATGTCACAAACAGCGTGAAACCCCTATTTATGGTTGCGAAACAACGGAAGACATCGAGGTCTAGGTATTCAACGTGATAAAGTGGTATGCAGCATACGGCTTGTATTTCCGTAAGGATCAAGTCGCCTTACGTGTTGGAGAACTCATGATGAACCACACGAAAGGAAAGGCAAAGTCGTGGGTACTCCAGGAATATCAAGGTAATCAGCGCTGGAGCCACATAATCCGCAAGATGAAGCAGCGGTTCGTGACAAAGTCCCGCCAAGAAGATTTAGTGGCCCAGTTCTTTGACTGTGTTCAAGGCAACCGCCCATTGGACACAAAAAATGACGAATTTCGCCGACTAGCACGCACAGCGGGTGTATCGGAGCACATAAAAAATACTTCGCTACAAACAGGGACTATCGTCATCGCAACTACTGCAGCTGCTCAAGACGAAGTCATTCGATACCCTCGATGAACTTATTGAAGCGTCGCACACATTGAAACCGCGCGACACAACTCGATCAACGAAAAAAAAGCGGCAAAAGTAGCAAACCATCCACGTCAAAAGCGGAAAAGAAGATGGATACAACAAAGTGCACTTCATCCCTCTGCACTGAAAAAGACCATTTAAAAGGTCGATGCTGGATGATGCACCCTGAGCTACAACCAAAATAATTAAAAGACAGCACCGGCAAGAAAAAAGTAAAAGGAGCTGCAGCAGCGTCCAAATTAGCCGAAGCGACCGAGGAGAAGAAACTTTGGTCAGTTCTCAGCACGATTCGGAGTGACCTCGCTAAGCTCAAGGGTGATTTAAACTAGCCGGTCCTGGAGATGGCGTCCCAGGACCCAACACAGCCACTAGCAGCCACGAGAGCTGTGTCTTTGACCCCGAAAAGCTGCTACTTCAATCTATTTCCGTCGGCAACGTGAAAGCAACCCATTTCCAGCAACTTATCAAATAAAAAGGTAAGTTGCCTACGCGGAGAAGAAGTACGATCGCGAAGACGTCCTTTGACGAAGGAGCTGATTTCTGTGGAGTATCGGCGGAGTTTGTGGAGAGAATGAATTGCAGTCAATATGTGAGCGATCTGGGCTCGATGCAGGTGACGTACGCGAACGGCAAAACAGAACCTGTCAGAAGCAAAACAATTCGCTTAACAGTCTTTGTCGATAGTATCCCGGGTTATACAACCAATTTTCAGCTTTGTCACATCCCCAACCAGTGTGAACTTATGCTTCGTGTACCTTGGAAGCGGGCTCGAAACCCAGTCATTGATCAAGACACAGACCGTGTATATACGAGGGAGGAAGTTGTCCCGGAAGTTGCAGAAGAAGCTCAATCGACCGAGAATAGGAATCTGGGTCGCACGCATTATCACTACTGCCGACATTTTGGGGCAACGAGGGTGATAAATTTAAAGAAAGCAGACAAAATCATGCGAAAGAAAGACGTAGAGTTCGTTGCTATCATCCCACCTGAGACAGTCAACGCTCTGTACCTGGAGATCGAGTGGGGGAGCCTACGCTACTAGCAGTGCCGAGCAGTCTGACAAGGCATAGCGACAGCAGAAAACCGACCTTGACAGCTTTAAGGATACTCCAGGTTTCAGACTACTCGTTGAATTTCCTGACATTTTTCGCGCTCAACTGCCCGTTGATCCTCCTCAGGACGGAGAACACAAAATGGAAGTGATTGATCCAAATCGTGCCATTTACACGCCTCAGTGGCGGCTAAGTCCTGACCAAGAGCGTGGGCTGCGAGAATGGCTTTAAGTAATGTTACAAGCTGGCCTGGTTCGTCTTAGCAAGTCTCCACACGTGGCGCCAATATTCTGTATAAAGAAGCCGATCGGATGGCGTATAGTACACGACTACAGAGCTTTGAACCTGCGAACTATCCGGCAATCGACTCCGATGCCGCGAAAGGACGTTATCCTCGACCGAATGAGTGGAGCAATTTGGTACAGCTGTTTCGATTTACTGTCTGGATACTATCAGATAAGAATGCGGGTTAAAGATGTTTGTTTACTGCATTTCAAACCCCCGATGGCCTCTTCGAGTATCTCGCAGTACCGATCGGGCTGTGCAACGCCTCCGCAGCTTTCACCCGTATTGTTCAAGGGATCTTTGAAGACGTGCGAGACTTTGTGGCTACGTGCTTCGATTATTTGTATGTGTTCATCAAGCGGTCAGATGTGGAGGCTCATATAGCTGCAGCTCGCAAGGTATTTGAGCGGTACAGGGAGAAGAAACTCTGCTTAAAGCTCTCGAAATCTGCACTGAGTTCCGAAGAAATACCGTGTTTAGGCGCCTTTGTGGGTCGTCACGGAGTTCGGATTGATCCCGATAAAGTTCAAGTAATATGCAACTGGCCGCACCCAAAGACAGCAAAAGAATTGCAGTCCTGTCGGGGTACAACCGTGTATGTCCAGCGACTTTGCGAGGAATATTCAGAGTTGAGTGCTTCGTTATTTAACATGCTCAAGGCGAAGACAAAAAGACAGCTCACGTGGCAAAGTGAGAGTATTAAAGCCTTTAACAAGCTTAAAATTGCTCTCAGCAACACCCCGTTGCTAGCTCTTCCTGATTTTAACAAACCATTTTTTCTTCGCACTGACGCATCACGGTTTGCAATCGGCGGAGTTTTGTTTCAGTTGTACTCTGGTGTCTCCAAAATGAGACTGGACAACCAATTGTTTTCTGTGGAAGCAAAATGGGCTCTACAGAGCTAAACTACCCCACGCATGAGCAGGAAATGCTTGCCATTATCCATTGTTTGAAAATCTGGAGAGTGTATCTCGTGGATGGAGGATGCGCGGTCGAAACGGATCACCACTCTCTATAGCGAGTATTGACTCAGAAGACAATAAATTGTCGCATTTACAGATGGTATGACCTGTTAGCAGAATTCAATTTACGATTTCGTCATATTCCAGGACCAACTAACACCGTCGCTGATGCGTTGATCCGGCGTCCGGACTTCGAAATTGATTTCGAACAGCAGAAGCAGAGACAGATGAACGCTGTCTCTCGCTTAAAGCCACTAACGTCGCTGACATTAATTTGGCGATCGCAAAGACGCGCGGGGTGGACTGAATAATCACTTAAGACAGACAAGAGTCTTCAAAATATCTACTTTGATTCGGATAAATTGCTCGTGTACTACAATCAGAATGGTGGATTGCGTCGAAAAGCTATACCGGTCGACGACGTGGAAATGCGAAACACGATATTGTGGGAATACAATGACATTGCCACGTCGGGACACCCGAGGATCGAGAAGACAATCGAAGAAATTAAGTCGCGGTTCTACTGAAAAAATCTACATAAGCAAGTCAGCGAATACATTGCTACTTGTGAGTCCTGCCAGATAAACAAGCGCCGAGCAGGAAAACCACCAGGATTGTTGCATCCACTCGAAATACCAACAGGTGGATGGACATCAATTGGCATGGACTTTATTACCGGGCTGCCCGCTACTAACACAGGCAGCGACACAATTTTTGTGATTGTGGACAGACTCACAAAGAGAGCTCACTTTATTCCGACAGTATCGACAATCACGGCTCGGCAACTGGCAGCATTATTTGTGGACCAATTTGTAAAGCTTCACGGTCTTCCTATGGATATTGTGTCGGATAGGGACACAATTTTGTCTTCCAAGTTTTGGAAGGCGTGTGCAGTAATTACCGGCACAAAACTGAAGATAGCGTCGGCTTACCACCAGAGAACGGACGGTCAAGCCAAGCGGGTCAACGCAATTCTCGCTAATTACCTACGCCACAACGTCAGCGGATTTTAAAATGACTGGGACAAGCATCTTGCCCTCGCGGAGTTCGCGTATAACCGTCAGTACCAGTCCACTATTCAAATGAGCCCATTTCGGGCTGATCTTGGATACGAACCTCGACTATCAATTGATTTGCACCTCGCAGACAAGTTTCCGGCCTCAGCAACCGATTGTTTGGTCGGTCAAAGACAAATTTTGCGCGAATTGCAAGCCAAGGCGCGGTTGGGTGCTGAAAAAATGAATTTGCTGTATGATAGAGGTCGTCGAGAACAAACGTTCGAAATTGGGGAAATGGTACTGATTTCGACTCAAAATCTGACTCCTGCAAATGTTGGAGCAGTTCAAAGAAAATTTGCGGCTCGGTGGATAGGTCCGTACGAAGTCATCGAGATTCACCACGATGGATCAGCTTACAAGCTCAATATCCCGAGAGAGCTTGGTATTCACCCAGTGCTTCACACAATGGTGTTGAAAAAGGTTCAGGAAGGACAAGTCCGAGGTATGCCGCGACACAACACTACCGCCAGTTCAACTTAAGGATGGATCAGAGGGTCATCTGATCGAGACCATCATCGGTCATCGTATCTCCAAGAACGGAGAAGTGAAATATCAATGCAAGTGGGTTGGCCGAGACGATGATATTACGTGGGAGCCGACTTCAAATTTGCTGTCGGTCCCAGGACTGACCAGAGAGTATCTACAAAGATCTAACAAAATACCAAGCCGATCCTCGACTCGACTCCAGAACAAGAAACCACGTCAAATGCATCAACGAAAACATTTCATCAACCAGTATTTTCTTCACCAGGAAGAAGTGCCTTTCTGATGGAGGCCGTGTGACGGAGTTCATCCATTTTCAGACGGAAACACAAGAAAAACTCATTAGAAGGGTCGCTGGCCGCCAGTAGGCAGGAACAGTCACTTCGAGAAACACCACTAACCAAACAAGACAAACACTCTGGCATTTAGCTTCTATCTACCCGGCTTGTCGCGTCTAACCATGTGCATCTAAGTGCCACCGCACATTTGGTGTCTACTCTACTGGTATTCCTGTTCAGGAGAGGAGTCTACCGTATATGTAACACATGCATGCTGGTTTGGTTGCGCAGGTATTGCAATAAATGTTGCAAGCTCATTGGGTATTGCTGTTCTTACTGCTACGTGATGGCTTACTCCAATACATATTGCATAGTGTTGTCTTCTTTGCAATACCCTCCTGTACATTTTTTTCCATCACTGATGTAAGCCACTGGCAGTAATATGGAGAAAACCACTGGTATTAACACCTCCAAACCGGAAACCAAAAGTCACATTTAAACTGCATATGCAGCCTTATTAAACTTGGTATTTGTATATACTGGGATAGGTGTAGCTCGCTCATAAAAAACGGGATTTGCAAAACTGCGCAGAGCAGCGATTAAACTGCCCAAACCTGCATATTGGTAGTAAGGTTGCCACATGTAAATTGCATTATGCAGTATAAAATGAAAATAGCCAGGACGACTCCCGAAAACATAGGAACAGAACCAGCTCAGTCTACAGCTCTCATTTTTAAATTTTTGAAAACTGAAACTTTCTATACAAATTCCTATAAACAAAGTTGGAGTGTCACTCCTATCAAGTAACGCAAGCAAATGACACGAGACTGTTTGTT